TTCACTATTCGAATATATTCTGATTCATTTAATCAAAACAGTCTTAGTTAGCATCATGAGAGACGTACATAGTTGTTTAATGGCATTTGGTAAAAATTTACATTGTATCTGAAACGATCGACTTGATATACCGCGACGCTGCACGTGTCGTTTTGATTTTTTATACGCTATTGGTGCTTCTTTTGCAACATGTGTATAATTATGTGATTTGGTATGATTCGTTCTAATAAAAAATATTGGAGTACTATTTAAAAAACGAAAGCTTACATTCATATCTCTGACAAAAATGCAGATAAAAAAGTTCTGATGTATCAAAGTTGTGAAGACTTAAACATAGTTCAACTTTTGTCTAACATAATTTTTTTATAAAGTCCAAGAAAAATGTTCAAATTTTGTAGAAACACTTACGTGGGGCACTTTGTTTGTGTTGCGTGTGCGTGTATGTGTGTACCCCCCCACAATCTCTCTCTCCCGTCACTCACTCTCTCTCCGTCTCTCGCTCAACCGCCATCACTTGATCTCCTTCCGTCACTTGCTCTCCCCCCATCGCTCGCTCACACGCCGTCTCCAGGTCCCCACGTTTCTCGCTCGCCCATATCTTACGCTCATCATTGTCTCACGCTCACCCCTGTCTCATGTTCACCCCTATCTCGCGCTCTTCCAGTCTCTCGCTCTGTGTGTGTGTATGTGTGTGTGTGCGTGCGTGTGTGTGTACGTGTGTGTCAAGTAATATTGCTCATTTTATTTGTTATTATGCAGTATTTTTAAACATTATAGTAATATATATTAATTTGATAAAAAAAATAAATAATTATTATTAACGAATAATCAATTTAATGTTAATACTTTAATTAAAAAATAAAACAGAGTTGTCACCTAAGCTTGTTATAACAGATTTTGGAAAGAATTTACAAATCAAATATTTTCTGTTTTCAAGTATTAGTTATTGTTAATTTTATGAAAGTATTTTTTAAGTTTATTTATAAAAATATATTGTTTTATACTTGAACACAACTTTACTTTAATATAAAAATTCTAATTCATGTGCAAACAAGAAATAATTAATTTAATAAAATGTACAATTATTTATATTGCAATTTTCAATAAATTAACATTAATAATTACATTACAAGATACGAATAAAATTTATATTTAAGATATGAATGAGCGAAAAAAAGTATATCAATTGACTATGAAAGATATAGAGAAATGATCATGAATTACTTATAGAATGATTCCTTTTTAATCTGTAAGCAATGACAACCCTAGACGTAATACTCTGACTTGGTGTATCTGATATTTGACATGATTTTATATTTGAAGTATTTGAAAATATAATTAACTGTTATATGTGAAAGTATGATTAGATGCTATATTTGAAAATATGACGTTTTTATATATTTGAAATATACTTTTATCATATAAAACGTACTTACAAAATAATACGGTGGTTGTTGTTGCGTCAGAGGAGTTGGGAGCTTAGGAACAGGATCAAATTGAGACGAAGGAGTCTCTCTTTGAGGTAAGGCTTTGAAGAGAGATTTCTTTGCTCGAGGAACTGTCGCGAGTGGCACACTAGTAAGATTGGCAGAGAAAGTATCTGTAGGAAGAGCAGGGCTTCCATCTAACGTTCCCTCCTCTGTTTTCTTACTTGCCGACTTTTGCTTTGGCGGTCGCGTTACTAACGCTGATATCTTCGCCAACTCTGGACTTGGTTCTCGTTTCGTCTCATCCTCAGGCTTCTTCAGCAATGTCTTTATAGTTCTATAACACATTTCCCTAATAATAATGTATGCGTTATTAAGTACGATGAAATGTATATAATATTAACTCATAGTACACTTTGTACTAAAACACTGAAAAAGGAAGGAAACACGTAGCGTCCATAAAATAATAAACACATTTTTCAGCTGTTACAGAAAATAAAAAATTACTAATAACACAAAAATAAAAAAACATAAGCAAAAAACTCACATTTTCTTCATTGGAGTAGCATCTGGCGTTGGGGGTCTTGGAGAAGCTGTTCCTAATTTTAATGTTATCTTTGGTACAGCTTCCGAAACTTTATCTTCTTTCTATAATAAAATGATATTAAGATATTAATTTCTTTACTTTAAATTCTGTTTCGCAAAAATGACAAGAAAAGTACACTAAATAATGACTTTTGTACCTCTTTTTCTTTTCGTTTATCTTTCTTTTCTTTCTTTTCTTTAGTTTTATCAATCTTTTCTTTTTTATCTATTTTATCCTTTTTATCCTTTATTTTTTCTCCTTTTTCTTTATGTTTTTCTTTTTTATCTTTTTTCTTTTTTAATTTATCTTTCTTTTCCCTCTTATGTTCCTTTGATTTCTAGAAATAAAATATAATATGTAGTAAATAGTTATTTGGAAGTAATAGTTATTTTAAAGTCCTTACTACACTGAAAATTTAAAATGAACTTACATATTTTTTTTTTGGCATATTTAATATTATCAATTTGCTTTCTACAAATTTTTTTATTAATTGCTACTTTAGTAAATTAAAGTAATTAAAATACTTTCAGTTATTATTAATTATTAATACAAGTTAATATTATAATGAGTATTGAAATACATAAAAAAGTTTAAATTACTAGTAAAGTAAAAAATTACCTTATCATTTTTATCCTGTTTTTCAACTTTGGGAGTTTTTGAAGGTAATAATGGTACAATAGGTACTGGTGTAGGATACGTAATTGGTGTTACAAGTGCAGATGATAAAGGTGGTGCAATAATACTTGCAGGAACTGGCGGAGGTATCTCTTTGTCCTGTTTAACCACCTTTGGTTTATCTCCCTTTTCTTTTTCCACTTTTTCGTGTTTTGTCATTGAAGGTGTTATTTCAGTGGATGAATGTGCTGGAGGAAGTTTTTCACGTTCAAGAGATTTATTTTTTGGTAAAGTACAAAAGTCTTCAGCTTTTGGTGGTAAATTTAAGAAGCGAGGTGGCAATGGCAAATTTGGCATTGCTGGATGAGGGCCAGTACTACCTCTTCCCAAAGGTAGTGGAAACCTAGGAAACATAGGATGAGGTATTAAACCAGGTGCTGGAGGAAACGTTGAAAAGAAAGGAAATGGTATCGTTGGTGGAAAACTTGGTTCTTTGGAAATCTGAGGTTCGGGTGCCTGTGGTGTTTTTGGTCGATCTAGTATATCCGGTTCTGGCGCATCGTTGGTAAGCTTTGTCTGAAAAACGGTAATCGCGTATCGGCGATGTCTTTCGGTATTTTGTTTAAGCAATTAACAGTACTCGCATAGATATACACACATGCGTGCACTTGTGTTAACATCATGTAATATAAATAAAAATTACCCTACCTTCTTTGGACTGACGCAATGTTTGGGGCTTCTTGATTTTAATTCCTTCTTTTTATTAATCTTCTCTTTCCTCTTTTTTTTATGATCCGTAGGCGTTGTTGGCATGTTTAATTCTGGAGTTCTCGGTGTACTCGGAGTCCCTGGCGGTGACATATCATCAAACATATAAACATCTGATCCTGGACTTTGTAGATCAGTTAATTCTCCTCCATCTGGTTGAAGATGAACATCTGGCGTATGTGGAGTCTTCTTTTCATCTCGTTTTACATCATTGTCATTACGAAATGCCTGCTTATCTATATTTTCATCAATCACCAATCCTGGAGAACTTTCTCTTGAATCAAGTTCTTTGTATTTATGTTGTTCTGATATGTCTTTGTCTTTATCCTCCCGCGGTTTTGAAATCTTTTTAAAAATATTCAATTTTTGTTTGTCTGGTTCTGATGGAAGTTTATCAATATTATCTTCTTTCTTTTCATTGGGTGGAGGAGATCCAGCAGTAAGGTCGATTACTTTTTCTGTTTTTGTCTTTGGCTGTGTATTTTTCTGCAATTTTGGGCTACCAGCTGTCTTAGGAGACATTAATTTAGGAGTAGATGGTCTGCTTGATGAACTTGGCATAGTACTTTGTAACTTTCCACCTACTGACTTTAGGGGTTTCAATTTAGCTAATTCTTTCATACTAGCCAATTTTTTAATTTTATTATCTATCTTATCCGGTTTAAATAATTCTTTAGCGCGATTTTTTTTCTTGTTTTCTTTATCAAGTTTACAATCCTCCAGACCTTTTTTTATAATCTTTTTTGGTTTCTTATCATACTTTAATTCAGGGGGTACCATTGGGTAGGAGCTAGGTTGTGGTGAATCTGAACAGGTTTGATGCGGTGTTCTTGCTTCGGGTAATTTTCCTTCTCGAGCAGGTGATAAAAAACCTGAAGTAGTCATCATTACACTATGAATTTCACGTAATGGTCTACCCTCTTCTAATACTTTCACACGCTTTACTATAGGACTTTCAAATGAGACAGGATCTCCTGGTCTCTTGAAAACGACTTGTGGTGATATTCTGTGAGGAGATACATTGATAGAACTATTCGTTGATGTTCCATTACTCAATGTTAAATCTGGTGTTCTATTTATTACATTCTCTGCTTTCTCTGCTACATACTCTTCTGCAAGATAGCAATTCATTTTATTTTAATAACTTTGAATTATTACTGGTTATTTAGGTTACACTGTATTTTTCTATAAGAGGAACTTGAACACTAACAATCTAATGGTAAATATTTTTTTTAGTAAAAATTTGCATACTAAGCATGAGTGTTATAATTATATTTTGTATGAAATAAATTACTATACATCACTGTATGTAAAAAATAGATTAATCTACTATGAGGATCAATTACCTATAAGTAATCCATTATATATAGAGTTATAAATTACAGTTATACAAAATTTGAAATTCTTCTATTTAGTTGTTGCATTTGTAATTTTATTTAAAAAAACTACATCTACTTTAAAATATACATGCAAAGTAACACTATGAATAATTAAATATAAGGATGTCATTTCAAATGTTTAATCTTTAACAGTAAATGCAGGGTTCATTCAGATATATGTTTTACGTTTCTATAGACGTCAAGAGTAGTCTTAGTAGTTTTATATTACTTTCAACTTCTCACAGAATAAAAATTTCTATTACAATACAAAATTGCTATAATGGATCTGAATGAACTCTGCACATACCTTACGCTCGGCCGGTAAGCGATCCGTCATTCGAGAATTAATAACATACTGTTTAAATTACACATCCATTTTAATGTTCTACCTTTATTTAAAAGAAAATTCAAAAATTCAACTTGCATTTTTGGAATAAAATATCATATCTTATGTGTTAAATTAGAAGAAATATTACATTTTTATAAGAAATCTATTAATTCTTATTGGTCCTAAATTTAATAGTAAACAAAATGTTTTACTTTCTTTCTTAAAAATTTGTTTTATAGAAGACCCCAATGGTGTCTGAATGCCATCAAAGATGTCAATAAGACAAGAGTAATAGAGGTTGTCTATGTTTAATTAAAGGATCTTTTCTGATTAAGATTTTGCCACTTTTAATAAAAACTGTACCACCATGATCTATAAATGTAGTATCAACAAAATCATTGAGGCAAAAGCTATAAAGACAATTTCTAATCAATGGATTTGTGTTGATGATATAATTCAATGATTACTCAATTTTATGGACTCAATGTCATACAACTACTTTGTGTGGTGTAAACTAAATACAATGTATAGTAAATCACTGATAAAAATAAAGGATGTAAAGAAACAAACTAAACACAGTTTCATTGAAATCTTTTACACGTTGAATGCCATGGCAGTCACCAAAAATCCGAACTCTTTTTGGCAGTGGTATCATGAAGAGTCATTGATGATCGTTACTCAGCCATTACCAGAACCAATTAAAGCACATAAATGAAATAAACAGTGATAAGTGTAGAATTTGTAATACTGTCAATGCTATAATAATGATGCTAAGTTCCAAATGCAATTAAGCATTTTTATTTTTTAGTAACATATGTATATAGAATGTCCCACCAACTCTGTCCACTTCAAATATCTCTGTTATTTCAAGTAATAGATGAAAACATTATTTACAAAAGTTGTATAGTTACAAGAAAGTAATAGTTTCTTTACAGTTAGAGGCATAGAGGTAATTTGAAGATCAATTTTGTTATTTCATATGGAATATCCAATCTTTTATGAACAAATTCGATAGAATAGCGAATTCTGAATATAAAAGTACTAAGATACTTATATTATTTATCCTAGAACTCATCGTTCTTGAGATAACCAACTTTGTCCATCCTATTACTTTTATTATGAAACATGTTCGAAGTTATGCTCAGTACTTCGGATGTAAACAAACATATATAATTGTTTGGTACCGAACGTAATTAATCCCATTATAACAGACACCTTTTCCTCAAAAGAAAATTACCAATTATCGACTTTACGACACGGACGCCTGTCTAGTCTATTTTTGAGTATCTCTTTTTTCAAAAGCCCATAATTTAATTAAGTATCTTTACGCAGAGGTCGGGGGCCTAGAAAGTGTTCTATGGTCACAGAACCCCTGCATTCTTGCCGGCCATCCGCCTTTCTAGTGTCCAGCCACTAATCCTCAATACTAATGATGTATCATAAAGCCACTCAGTAACATCGAAGAGCCTAACAACCCTTTAGGGGCAAGCATCCCTTGGGTTCAACTCCCCGAAAGCGACACCATACCCCACTCTGCCAATTTGAGAATTCCAAAGTGGGCGGCATACTCGCAGCTTGCTGAGGAGGACCCTTAGGCTTACTAGCACAGGATTTGCCACACATAATACACACCCTAAACCATAGATTTAATATAAAATAAGATTTTCACAACACAGAGAGAATCTTTGAAAAATAAAAACACGATAATAAATGCAGCAGACAATTCAGACAAGCTTAAAACGTACACCTTGTAACCAAAAATTTACGCAAATTAGTTTGCTCTCATTAATTTGAAACAGACACGTCCGTATTAAAGGTTATCGCAGTTTATGCGTAAGCGAGCCTTACAACCTCGCAAAAATTCAATGAATTGCAACTAATAAACGAAATAATAGTAGAGCTATTACAAAAATGCGAATATTCGATATATTCGAATACCAGTAGAATTCGAATTTCAACTTTGAATAATTGAACTATTCGAATAATTCGGATAATGCGAATATTGTAAGTGATTGAATTTCAAATATTCAACTTCAGAAAATAACGTTTCAGGAATGAGAAGAGAAACACAAATGTTACAGTCCATTAAAATCGTTCTGAGATTTCAGCTCACCTCGAAATGAATCCATAGTGATATATCGATCATATCGCTACTGATTACGACCAATGTCTTACGAATAAATATATCTCAAACCCATAGCACTGAATGTGGCCTGCCTTCCTAAAGTTACATATTCGAATATCTGAAATGAACAAAAATTTCGGCACAATCCGAAATTCGAACACTTCTTATATTCGAATTATCCGAATAAAAAATGCGTATTCGAAATTATCTGAATTATTTAAATAATTAGATTATTCAAACTTTTACAATTGTAATATATAGATAGTGAATATCGTAAAATGGCATAGTTAAACTTTCAACGTTACTCAGTATTAATAAGTTCCTCATTCAGTGATCACGAGATTGTCAATACGAAATTTTCATTCGAAGAATAAGTGAATATACTCCTCATTTACGGAGGAAGTAAGAAAACTTCAATTAGGACACAAACTTTGTTTACTAAAAGATATCCCATCGATAAATGACAGTTCAACAAACACTTGGGCCGTATTTTATCGACGATAGTCTTACTGGTGATCAAGGGTTCAGCATAGAAAAGACCTGAGAAGATAAGATGCAAATATTTCAACGATTCGCAGATTACATTGTATCGATGTATATGGTCGATATTTCGAACATGTTTCATAATGAAAGTAATAGGATGAACAAAATCCAATATCTCATAAGTGTACCTTAGTACTTCTACACTGTGGATTTGGAGTCTTCATACCTATCAACCAGAACAATAACAACAAGGAATTAGTAAGGGCGCCTTGGCGAAGGATATAGAGTCCCGACTTATTGTTAGCCGGCCGGAGGTTGCAGTTTCGATTCCCATTTGTAGGTTCTTCATTTTTCCTTGGCTCCTACAATACTCAGAATTCGCTATTCTATCTAATTTGATTATAAACAATTGGACATTCCATTCACAAAAGTAAAACTGACCTTTAGATCTTCCCTATGCCTTTACCTGTAAAGCAACTATTGCCACCATGTTATGTCTGCCTTGCAACCATACAACTTTTGTAGGTAATATTTTCACTTATTTCTTGAAATAGTGAAAATATTTTATATGGACAAAGTTGGTAGAATACCTTGTATATGTTCCATAGGCATATTATTAAATTAGTTTGTTATCTATTAAGTTTTAAGCTAATAAGAATTAATACATAAAAAATATGACGTTCTATTACCAACCTACAAATAATCTGAAATGGCTACATATACAATATAATGTTATCCTTGAAACCATACAATTTTTACACATAACACAATGTAAATATCTCTCAAGGTGTGCATGTTAACTACATTACCTAGTATATTTTGTGTTGTTTAAATTTCAAATAAACATTATTTCATATAAAAGCAATTACTTAAAAGAATGAAAACTGCTTTTAAATGTACAAAATACATTTTTCCATCATTTATAATTTAGCTAGTAATTATACTATTTGTCTTGTTCCAACAGCCTACTAAAAGTAAATTCTTTATTTAATATCATCATTTTATCTATTATTGTTTATATTGAATAACTCTATTGTTTCCTTTAAAGATGCAAAATATAAATCTATAAATACATACTCTTTGTTTTAAATATATAAAAAAACAGTTGAAATAAGAATATAAAGAGGAGATTACTAGTTATATCATTCTCATTTACGAAGGAGTAAAATTTTAAATAATCAATTCATTTTAAATGTGCTACTACAATTGTAAATTGGTATAGAGGTACTGTGTACATAAACTGACAACCTTCCAAAGCATATTGTGGATCTATTTTCATTTATTACAAAATTATAATAAAATTAAGATATTGTAGATACATCTTTAAAAGGGTAGTTTTTCCTAACCTTTTGTCTTTTCATTTTATCTATTTATTTATAGTTACATTTCAATAATACTGTTCCAACTAATTGTACCCTATTTATAAACATAATTACATTTGACTTTGCATAGAACATTACCACTGTATTTGTAAAACATAGTTTTTTATGTTTTAACTCACATTACTGCTGTAACTGCAGATTTCAAATTTCATCTAGTTACTGAATGAACAACAATAAATTTAAATCTAACAATGAAACTGATCATGATATAGATCAATTACTTCTGTTTCATCTATCAAGAAAATTATTATACAAGAAGACTTGTTATTTTTCTATTATGAAAGTCTGACACCTTATTTAAATTACATCTTTCTTATTACTATGAAAGAAACCTTCTGAATACAAAGAAAAATTAGTTTGCAGAAATGTTCTGCAATTAGCTATCATGAGCCATACACTTCTACTTGACACTAAGTCTAAAAAATTGTTGTGTTAACAACTATGTTTATAAATAGAAAGTCATTAATTTAATGATATTTATAAAGTATAGTTACAAACAAAAAAGTAAAATAAAAGTTATAAGGAAAATAAAAGTAAAATTTATTTTTTGGGGAATATACCTAAAATATCTTAACTTTGTCGTAAGTTTGCAACAAATGATTCATTAAGATCTCCAACAAGTTTGTTGGTATTCTAACAGGACAAATTATATATTTAATCACGAATGTATAACAATTACTTAGTTTTTGTATTAATAAATGCATTGAAATTTTACATTTTCTAATAATACATACAAAGAATTATAAATCAAAATCTAATGGAGTCATTACTGTAATTTATTAACACAATAAATTTAATTAAAGAATAAATAAGATACTAGAAACTTTAAAACAGAAGCTACATTCTTGAAAATATATCTGACTTTTCATTAATATTTCAAGTAATTCCGTCAACTAACATAGTTTGAATGCTGATGACATATTAATATTGCTATACATTTTATATACATATGATTGTAATGTACAGTACTCATGTTATGGATTATCAATTATTAATTATAATACCTTTTTAATTAAACAGCTGAATAGATTATAGTAAGTTTCCATAAAATATATTTTACATGTAATAAACATTATCAAAAAATTAATAATAAATTAGCATTTTTTTAGTTTTAAAATATTTGAAGTTTTAATAATTCTAAAAACAATTATTTGTATAATATAAACACAGATATATTTATAACATACTTTACCTTCAGTATCAGGGTACATAGCTGGTAAATGTTCATGTACATGTACTGGCCTTGTTACAACTTCTCGACTTCCAGGTTTTAAAAAGTTTAAGTGATTCTCATGTCGAACTGGAAATTTAGGTACTGCTATAGGACATGGAACAGAGTCAACATTTTTAATATATGCTGTTAATTCCTGTATATCAATATTCATATGCTGGAATGCTAAACCTAAATCATCAAGATTTGCTTCTGTCCTTCCCACTGAAAAAAATATTAAATTATATATTTTAGAATAAAAAGAACTCTGTATACACCTAATATTTCAACATAATTATACTCCTTTAATCATACAATTATTTGAACAACAAATAGAATTTACTGAATATTATCTAAGACTTTATGTATCACATGTAATATCTAGTTTCTTATAATAATTCTAATACATTTGAACCTTTATAATACTTGAAGTTACTTACGAATTTCTGCATATTGATGAGTAAGTTTTGAAATTTGCAAAATATATTCTTGCATAAGATCAACCATAAACTCTAACGGTGTCGAATTAATTGAATGCCATCCAATTGTTTGGCAAATTTGAGCAACCACCATTCTTAAAACACTTCTACTATATTCTGTTGACATTTTTACCTAAGAAAGAAAACAATAAAATTTCCACTTATAATAAAAACTAAGGATTGGTTAAAAAGACGTTATTACAACTTTAAATCTAATACATATGTTTTTAAAAGTATTAAAAAGTAGCAAGATTTAGTAGACTATTCATAATCTGAATGTGTGAATTATTTAATGTGAAATTTTGAGTTCACTTACCAATGTAAAAGAAATTGTACAAGAGTTTTTTAATTCTTCTGTTTATTAATCTAAAATGCATACATTTCTACTACACTACTTAGCTTCATTTAGCACTTTGATGTTAAGTTATGCAATTAACTTCGACAATAATACATGTTTTATTCGTAAAATATAACGAAGTGTAGATAACATAACAGACACAGAATGCAATACGTTCTCACTGCCTTCACATTTTCCTTTAAACGTATTTTTACTTCTTTGCAACCATTGATGCATATTACACACCATATACCATGATGGCGGAGAATTTCTTCAGTCATAGAAGCAAAAAAGGATAGCGTCGTCGTACTTCTGATCAAGCTCACTTACATTAAAATATGAAAGATTGAAGCTTTAAAGTTGTTCTACCA